GCCCGCGGGTAACGGCTACGAGCGGCGGGCGACCGACTGGGCCGGGGCTGGATCTCCCAGGCGCCGGGCGAGCGACGAACCCGCAGGCAGCTTCCCTTTCGCTTCCTCCCACTGCACCGGGACGGCGGGCTGGCGGGAGACGCTGGCTCGGGATCCGCGAGGGGAAGCGACAGCGACGACTCAAACGACGGCAGCAAACGCTTCGCTGAGACTGAGCCGAGAAGAGCCGAATCATCGGAAGGAAAGCAGCCCTCACCTCGGCCAATCAGCACCTGCCCTAGGGACTCGCGCCCGCCTCTCTAGGCCTCTCCCCAGCAACCCACGGACCACAGCCAATCAGAAAATTCGTTTATGGCTCGGCTCCCGCCTCAGGGAGGCAACACGCCCAGTAACGCCACGTCAATTGGCCGCAACGCTACGCTTCCTCGACGGATTTGGGTTCTCGACCAATCAACCAAACGGATAGGTACAGATCGACTGGTGGAAGGAGGGCCTTTAATTCCTTGGAGGTGGACTTTCCTACTTGGCTCCAGTTCATTGGTTTGAGTTTACCCGGCTGGAAGAACCTGGCACAATAGATTGAACCCTTGTATTAGTCTAGTCCTGTTGTGGTGACAGACCACACGCTGTTTCTTCCCAAATCGGAGGAGCCTCTTACTCTGTAACACAACAGCTCTCCTTCCTCCTTTAAAATACTGGCTCCAGGGGGCTGGGGATTTAGTTTAGCGGCACAGCGCCTGCCTGGCAGGCACAACGTCGTGAGTTCGAGTCCCGGTACCGGAAAATAAATAAATAAATAAATAAATAAATAAATAAAATAAAGTAAAATTAAAATACTGGCTCCAGCCAGCCCTACTCAGGACCCTGTGCCCAGCATCCCAGCTTCTAATTCATCCTACCCTACCGACACTGTACCCGCTCTTAACTAATTTCACAGGTTTTACAGGTTCTCAATGCTTGGGGCTGTATATTCACCTTACCCATAATACATTAATTTTTGGAAGGGGTAGTGTTACCGGAACGCTGAGGTCGTGTCGCACAGAGACGAAGGGGCACAGGAGGTAAGGTACAAGCAAATTTATTTAAAGATACAAAGGCAAGAAGTAAAGCTGCTCTGAGAAATAACCCTGAGGGTTCTTTGTCTAAGAATTTTTAAGTGTTTTAGAAGAGAGCTTGAGCCGTTGTGTAAGCAGTATAATGTCAACCCTCGAAGACTTATTTTGTAGAGTACAATCTATGCAATGATCACACAGCGTCCACGCAAGACCCACATGCCCCTGAGCCAGCGCCTGCCTGATGACGCTCTGGGGAGGCCCCAGACAGCAGGACACCTATGATGTTTCTGTAAGATCCTTGGAGGGGCATGACTCAGCAGACTCCATTTTGGGCCCACTGTCCTTAGACTGTGTAACTCCTGTTCCTCTAATACCTGTTACACAGTTAGGGCACTTAAAGCCAGAAAGGTCAAAGGATAAATCACAACTAGGAATAGTGGCTCACGCCTGTAATCTCAGCACTCCCAAAGGCTGAGGCAGGAGGATTACCAGGAGTTTTGAGGCCAGCCTGGGCTATACAGTGAGTTCAGGGTCAGCCTAGACTACACGGCAAGACCCTGTCTCAAAAAAAAAAAAGAAGACAACCACAGAACACAGTAGATTCAATACAGTCCAAGGCAGCAAGAAAATTGTATGCTGGGACTAGAAGTCTTTGGCCCAAGATGACTGCTGGCCCTGACGCTGTCAATGAGCAGCTCTTGGTGAATACTGACTCAGCTTACTCTTTCACCCCGTCCACACAGATGTATTCGACTGAGACAGATCCAAGTTCTAATAGGGACAGAGTGGGGAATTATTTTACAAGAGGTCTGCTGTCTCTCTTAAGTATAAAGTACCGTAACTGCCATGTCTGGAAAGGCCCATCTAGCTCACCTACCAGACCTAATTCCACTCAAGTGCACCTAGCACAGGATCCTGGACTTTGAGGCTCTGCTTTTAGGCAATGGAAAGGTCTAAAACTGCTTCCAGAGTAAGGGTATATAGCTTTTTCTCATGCCCATATCACAAGCTCATAAAACAGATGTTCAAGAGCTAGGGGTTCATTTGTGAGACCCTGGGTTTAGTCCCCAGCACTATCCCCCTACCCCCCCAAAAAAAATTCTGGGAGAGGGCACCTTAGATAACCAACACTCAACTATGTGTAGGAGGCAGACAAAAAACACGAGTTCTACTCAACACTAAAAAAAAAAAAGGAAAAAAAGTGTCATGGTCAAAGGCAATGACTTCTTGGTGGTAGGCAACGCTTTTTGTGGAACCAAAATGGCAGTAAATGTGCCAAACTTCATAGGACTATCTCCAACCTCACCAGTACAGGAGTTATACAGGAATAAACAGCTCCAGGCACATTCTCCAACGGCAAGGCAGAAAAAAGCCCTCCCCATGAAGAGATGGTAGACTGAGGTCCCAGCTCAAGATCTTGGAAATGTGGCAGCAACACGTCAGCAAGGCTCTGCTAGCGACGTCTGAAACTCTTCAAGGAGGGTTTCACAGTTAGGTGGATGAATCCAGCTCAAGTATGTTTCCAGGTACAGTGGCAGAGACCTTGAGACCAAGAAGGGTGATGCCCAAGAGTGAGACACAGAAGGCTGGACAGCCTTCCCTCCCTCCCATTCCTCATCACCCAACCCGCCAAGGACCCCAGGGTCCCAGGCCCTCAGCCCCTGGCCTGCAGGCCTCAGTCTCACCAGGTAGCTCCTTCCTGTGGCGGCTGAGTCTGGGCCTTCAGTCTCCGCCAAACAGCACTGGCTTCATCCTTCCGGTTGAGCTTCTTCAGGGTCTGAAGCAGGTGAAACGAAGCATCTCTGTGGCCTGCAGCCCCACCCCAGAGGATGACGACTTAGAACTGGACAGAGCTGGAGGCATCACTTTATAAAAGGGGAAAGTGAGGCCTGAAGAGAAGTGTCTTGGCTACACCCACTCATGAAACCCAGGGTAGATCAGTAACATCCACTTCTGTCCTAGGGTCTACTGCCTGCCCAGTGCAGAAGGCTCAGCTCACCCTGTTCCTGCACAAGCCACCCCAACAGCCACAGAATCTGTGTCTGAGGGTCCTGGTGTGACCGGGGAGCTTCAATATTCAAAGACTCGCGTACACATTTGCATAGGTTTGTATGTACACATCTGGGTATATCTTAGGTACACAGTACATAATCCCTTCTATCCCTCCCACCTGGGAACACCAACCACCCTGACACTCCGGCCCAAGTACCTCCTCCATGGGCCTCTCTGTCCTCACACACCTGTGCATAGCTGGTACCAAGCAAGTATACATACCTGGGCACATCTGCACACTGAGGAAGAAGTCCTGTAGGGCTTTGGAGTCCTGGCCACTGGCTGCCCATTCCAGTCCACGACTGATCAGAGCAGCTGACCGAAGATGTTGCAGTGCTGCATCCAACCTACACCCCTGCTCACAGTTGGAAGCTGCTCCTGTGAACCACCCCTGAAGTCACTAAAGTGTCCTCCAAGCCACAGGGACACCAAAATCCCAGGTACCCCTCTATTTATTCTGTGAGCGTGTGTGTGCGCCCGCGCGCGTGTATGGTACTAGGGATTAAACCGAGGGCCTTGTGTGTGCTAAGCAAGCACTGTACCACTGAGCTACAACCCCAACGCGCCTCTATTTATTCTTGTGTCCAGGGTCCCTTTGTTTTAGATCTCCCAGTCTGGCAGGGTGGGATACATGCAAAAGGAACCCACTTCCACCACTTCCAGGAAATAAAGAAAACTGAAAGTCTAAATTACCTTGGTCTTTGTCCTCAGGCATGGCCCTGAAGAGCAGCTCAAGACAACTGAAGACATGGACAAGCAAAGAGGACTCAAACTCAGAAATTCCCATGAGTGGGTGAGAATTCAGCTCGCTAACCCAATGCCAATCAGAAAATTATCCTTCCATACCTCCCCAGAACCCTAGGGAGCTTCCTGGGCTCACCGGCTAAATTCACTGATTGCCTCTTTTTGGGCCCTCAGCTGAACCCAGGCCTGACCCTGAAGCAGGTGGGCAGCAGAGACCCACAGGGGGCAGTGTGGCAGTTCCCTGGTTCCTTTTCTGACATCTTCCCACAACCGGTGCATCTTAGGAAGCAGAAATGATGTGCGGCTGAGCAGCTCCTCACAGACAGTCAGAGCATCCTGGGCTCGGCTTGCTGTGATCAGCGCTACCGCGGCCTCCAAGAACAGCTCTGGCATACAGGGCCCTGGGGGACATAAGGGTGGGGAGAGCTGGGGCGGGGGAGGATGCAATGTCTTTAACAGGCATGAAGCATGAGCCACTACCCCCCACCTCCTCCCCAGGCTCTTGCCATGCAGAGACCTGGTCTCCCAGAATGGACACATTGAACCATAGAGAGAAAAACAGCAAATAGCAGTCCTGCTCTACTCCAAAGGCAACCCCAACCCTCCCACTTCACTGCAGAGAACCCTAAAGATATACCTACCCTTGGCTCTGAACCATCGAACAGCAGGGCCAGCAGGTCTAAGTAATGCTCTGCAGCATCTTCTGCCCTGGGGAGTCACAGCCCATCAGCTTTACCACAGCCCCGTCAGGACCCTCCAGGGGGTGCAGAGATAATGTTCCCTCTTAGCTAATGGACAGTAACGGTCCTGAGGAGAGGGCAGGGATAGGTCTTTGGGACTCCACCCCTGGCTCAGTGTGCTCTACCCCAGCTACAGAATGAATTAGGGAGGAGACCTCAGCATTTCAAAGACAGAGAAAGTTACTGTCTGGATGAAGAGTCCTCAGTTCAGGTCCAGCAATAAAGCAGGAGGCTGACGAGTACAGACTTTTTTTTTGATGCCAGGAATCGAACGCATGACCTTGCACTTGCCAGGGAGGCACTTGTACCTCTGAGCTAGGTCCCCAACCCCAAGTACAGACTTCTGTCCTGCCTCTGCTTCACTCATTGGTCACAAGAACGAAAGAGAGTCACCCTCAGGAAGGCATCAGAGGAGGGAAGAGGAGGGAAGAGGAGGTCGCGTGAGCGAGGGGAACTTGCCTCCCCGTCTGTAGGCAGCGGCTTGCTAGCAGGTGCTTGACGTGGCTCTGCGTGCCACAGTGAAGGGGAGAGGCTGGATCAGGTCGTGGGAGTAGCAGTTCTACCTCAATGAGAATCTGGGGGGCTTCAGAGCTGTGAGTGACACTCAAGGCCTAAAAGGAACAGAAAGAAAAGTGTCTGTATACTCTTTGGGAGGCAAACTTCTTGTATTTGCATCTCACTAGTCACAAACACCTCAGCAGTACTCCACTCTGTATCTTCACCTGCCAGCTCCTTACCTCAGCCAGCAGCTCCAGGCTCTCCAGCTCTGCTGTCGTGTCCCCCAGTTGCTGGTATAATCTGGAAGCCTCCAAAAGAGGAGGACCCAAGGGAGACCCCTCTTTTAGAGCTGCAATTAAGTACAGCAACGCTCTCTGTGGATTTCCCTACATTTGTGGAAAGATAAGGCCTCAGCTATTCTCACAAAGCAGAATGCAGTCCATAATGCCCATGGTTTTCCCCCAGCGCCCCACCGCCACCCAGAGCTATCTTTACCATCTTACGGAGACAGTTCCCCAGTGCTGTATACACCTGGGCCAGCACAGACCGGGAACACAGACTTGAGGCTGCTTCCTGCAGGTTGCTCAGTGCCTCGGGTAGCCTCCCTGTGATCAACTCCTGCAGGCCTGGGGGCAGTCATGGTGCAAGCTTAGAGAGGCCCATAGGGAAGGGAACACCACGGGAAACAACTGCCCAGAGAAATCTTGGAGGCAATGGGACATAACAAGGACAACATAAACCCAGAGGGCTCCTTATAGGAGAAGATGAATCAGGTTGCTTGCTGACCTTGGCGGAAGGCAGATGCTGTCAAAAGGACATCTTTCAAACCCTGGGCATCCTGCAGGATCAGGGGGGCATCTGATTCCACAGCAGGAGGGCTCCAAGCTTTTAGAAGCAACAACAGATCTTCAGAGGCCCTGCTCTGGAAAAGGTAACATTTAAAGGCTCTAAGCCTCTAACCACCCCTTCTTTTCCTTGGTCCATCTTTGCTGGACTTTGTGCTCAAGACTCCTCCTTATTCCTATCCCTCCACTTCTAACAGAAAGATAGATGGGAGGCAAAAATAAAAAGGAAGAAGCCAGGCATAATAGCACACACCTGTAATCTCAGCACTTGGGAGGCTGAGGCAAAAGGATTGCTGTGAGTTCAAACCCAGCCTGAACTACATAGCAAGGAACTGTTTCAAAAAAAAAAAAGAGCCTGGGATGTAGAGGCACAAGCACCTGCCTAGCAAGTGCAAGAACCTGAGTTCAACACCAAAAAAGAAAGAAAAAAATCCAGGGGAGGCCAGGCATAAGGGTGCACACCTGCACTCCCAGCATCTCTGAGGGTTCAAATAAGAGGCCTGCAAGCAAGTTCAAGCCCAGAGTGGGCAACTTAACAACTTAGGCAGACGCTGTCTCAAAATAATGGACATGTAGCTTAGTAGGAAGGACCTGGGTTCAATCGACCATATGGGATGGGACAAGGGAAGAGAAGGGAAGGAAAGGGGAAGGGAAGGAAAAGAGGGAGAATGAATCAATCCATGGCAACGGTGCTCTTTTCTAGTCTCCCTTCTCATTCAGGGGAAGTCCTTGAGTGTATGGAGCAAGGACCATGTCTGGGTTACTAACAAGAATGTGGCAGCTGCGGATGTAATTCAGTGGCACAAGCGCCTGCCTGGCAAGTGTAAGGTCCTGAGTTCAATTCCCAGTATCAAAAAAAAAAGTGAGGCTGGGAGGTGGCCTCAGCAAGATCAGGAAAGCCTTAATGATACCTAAATTCATTAAACTATTTTTACACACCCCCCAGCCCCCCACCCCCAGCCCGAAGTTCCCCAATTAGGAGTCAACCAGAGCAAGGGCACTGAAGAGTCCCCGAGAGGGGATGGGGATTTAGCTCAGAGGCACAGCACCTGCCTGGCAAGCGCAAAGTCATGAGTTCGATTCCCAGTACAGGGAAAAAACCAAAACCAAAACCAAAAAAAAAGAGTCCCCCAGAAAACTTAGGTTTTCTGGTCATCAACCCAGCAGCCTTTCCAGTATATAACAATTCCACCACAGCTGGCGGTACGGGAGGAGGGACACCCTCATCTTCAAATCACTTCTGCCATTACCTGGGAGCCATTCAGTGTCTGCAACATCGAGGCTAGGTCTCCGAGACGGTCAGTGCTCAACCAGAGGGCTGCCTGCAGGCCAGCCAAGAGGTGCAGGGCAGGGAGCAAGGCCGGCAGCAGGGCGGACGCTCGGAGGACGGAGTCCCATAGCTCCCTGAGCCCCTGCTCCAACCTGGGCCCCAGCTGCTCCTGGGTCTCCAGCACTGTGGAGTACACATACAAACAGCTAAGGCGGGACCTCATCGTCCGTCTCCCCACCACCTCCGGCTTTTCTTTTCTGCAAGAGCCCAAAAATTGCAATAATACCTCAACTGGCCTGAAGAGCACATGGAAGATTACAGAAGGGCACCTCTCTCCGGGGAGGTGACAGACTTTGTTGTCCCTCCTATACCCGCCCCCGAGCCCGGGGTAAAGCTAGCAGGCAGGGGCATGGGAAGCAACCTCCGGCCCTCACCTCTTTCTAAGGCCTGCCGGATGCCCTGCGCCTGGTCTTCAGGGAAAACCCGGCTCAGGCTCACTCTCAGGATAATGACGTTACAGGTAACGGCCAGCTCCAAGGGGAGGGCAGGAACAGCTGCAGGGAGCCCTGGAACGACAGAGGCTGGTCTCCCACGAAAGATCCCCCAATCTAGATATAATCCCACTCCAACGCAAATGGCTACAATAAAGAACGATCTTTCTAACGGAGAGTCTGGCCAGAGCAGAGTTCTCCAGATCACAGTCCAGAAGCCGCCGTGCCCTCGGCCTCGAACAGGACCGCAGCCCCGTGCCCACCTCAGTCCCAGGACCGCACCATGGAGGTCTCCGCGTACCTTGCAGACTGCGCAGGAGCCCCCGCAGCCCCTCCAGCACGTCCTGAGTCAAGAGCTGCCGTCTCAGATCGCACTCCCGCGCCATTGCTCCCTGCCCAAGGCGGGAGGGGGCGTCGCTGAGGTTCAGCATCCCCCGTCCTGCAGCAGTGCTTGGGCGTGCTCGGGGGAGGCGGCGTGCGCGGGGGAGGGGGG